TGCGTGTGCCTGCATCTTGAGATGGTTGCATTTCAGGCGTTGGCTGTTGATTGATATCCCGACTATTACCAACCACCTCGCCTATACTGGATCCAAGAGACAGTTGGTCGTTTCAGGGGGGATGGGGTGCATGGTCCTCGTGGCCGTACGAAGCTCAAATAGTGGTTCCATTCATCCAGTGTGGAACCGGTTACAGCCTAGCCACAGCCTTGTGCACGTCTGGTACGTGTGATTTCGGAATTAGGCATGAATGCTTCAGCTATGCTTGTTGAAGGAGGGTGGGCTGGCTCCGTTGATGAAACGCGTCTCACATACACATGCCTCCCGGTCTTATTCCTTCGGGTTTACAATGGACATGGGGTGTGTGGATGGAGCTGTCGCTGGTGTAGCTCAAGCTATCTATGGTCCCTCTGTAGCCGCAAGCGTCCGTTGCTGTCCCCATGGAGGCCGCAATGACAGGCAAATCCGGAACCGGATGCCGCCAACTATATTTTCCTCTAACTGGACCTTCACGTAACGCGAACAATCAATGTGCTCAGTCGAAATTCCTGGTGAACACGCTGACACTTTCTTTACTTAGTCGATAATTATATTTTTCCCATTTATTCGCCCTCCTACTCGACAGGACCTGTCAAGCATCAGCTTCTTTTACCCAGAATAATCCATTGTCTCCACCAGAAAGGAAAAGTAAGTCCAGGTAGGAAGAATCCGCAAACTATCGTACACGACACCGCATTCAACCCGAGATAACGATGAGGATCGCGTTGTGGAACCAAGTACGGTGCACAATCTCTATCTGGACCGATAAATTGTTAGTCACCGGACGCGTGCAAATAAGTGCGGAACCGTTGTGGAGTGGCGTGATGCTAATAGACAACGCCTAACATTCATCTGCAATGGTTAAGTGCTATGTCGACAAATCCGGCAACTCAGAGTAACTTCGTAAAGTGCTCACACACGTTAAGTAGTAAGTTCTCTACGCACTCACAGAGATAGACACAATGGGGGCAGTGCGAAAGCCCGATTCCATAAGACAGCTTTAAGGCCAAAACCCTTCAATGCAGTCTGTCAACTGCACCTCGTCTGTACACCGGCTTGAACTTAGCAATGGGGTCGGACGCAAAGATAGTTAATGCAGTTGGTGAGGCGTTTTCGGTGTGAGAACCGCGAAGTTGGCCACTATCCGACCCATGTTGGTGTGCGTAAAGTTGGTACATTATCCCGGTGAAGCATCGCGTTTATCCAACTGGGTCCTGACTGACAGAAACAACTAACTGGATTCTCCCGGACAAAACGGGCTGGTTACAAATCAGAAGCAACGATGTAAGTGAGAATACGAAGTAGGGAAAGTAAGGCGCCCGCAGTATGAAAAGATGCGGTTGCGTCGATGTTGACCACTCCCAATTCTTCGCTATATCCGTTACAGTGTACCTTCAAACTGAAGGGTACTAATGTTAGCATTCAGCCAGACCTCCCACTAGCGGATAGGTTGAAGCTAAAAGAGGCCATCAAGGACCACAGAAGCAGGCGACAGACTAGTGGACAAGATCTGCGTTTGGTGGCTTTTCAGGTGGTCAGCCGGCGGTCTTTTTCCGTCCTACCAATGCCAGTCTTGGTAGCGCACGACACAGGGCTGGACGTTACGAATACCTACAGATAGTGCTAAGTAATGTGTGCAGCCTAAGCAATAAGATGTGCGATATAGATCTGCTTGTAGATGGGTCTCATCCCGATACACTAGCATTCACTGAAACGTAGCTGTCTCAGGACGTCACGGTTGGTGAAGTGCATCTCTCTGACAACGCACTAGTTAGATGTGATCGCTTCGTTGGCCGACAAGGCGGGGCGTTGCGCTTTATGTTAGCTGTGACCCTGACGTTCTGCGTGCCTACATGTTTCAGTCGGCAGACATAACTGTCGTAGCTCTGACGGTAGTGATTAGCACTTCCTCGGCTCAACTTACAGTTGTAATTGTGTATAGAAGCCCTGGGAGTGCGTCCGAAGAGGTGCTTGAATTTATGCGCTTCCAATTCGCAAACAGGTGTTCGATACTAGGTGACTTCAAGCCACCAGAAGTTTGTTGGGCAGATCCTTCTTGTAACTCGGCGGTAGCTACTTTTGGTGCAGATCTGCTTGAGCTTACGCTACAAGTACAGTTGCATCAGTTCGTGGACCTCCCTACTAGGTACATGGACGCCCAAGTACCGTCTGTTTTGGACCTACTTTTGCCAAGTCGTTAGAGTTCGTAGGTGACATCAAGTACAGCTCTCCCCTAGGTGCCGGTGATTATGTCTATCCTTCAGCTGTGCTCTCACCAGACGTCACCAGAGCATCGTTGAGCCATATCCAAACATATGGCGTGCTATCAGCCAACGCGTCTAAAGGCTTCTGGGTTGCGTTGCGAAATCTCGGTGGCCAATACAGTTCAGGCAGCCTGTGATGAACTCAAGCCTTATCTCACGGAAGTGCCTAGTCCATACATCCCGCTTGCGAGGAGAAAAGAGACACGAGTACGGCCCCCGTGGATAAGTACTACTGGCAAGTACCTGCTCCAGAAACGTTCTAGGTGCTGCAGGACCCACCGTGCAGACTCCATCAAGTAGCACCTACGGTAGGTATCGCGAGGCTAGAAATAGATGTAAACGACACTTGAGGAAAGCTCGACTGTTGTACGAAAAGGGATTGGCTGACGGAGCTCCGGATAATCCGTAGAAGTTCTTCGTTTAGGTTGAGTCGCTGTAGTTCAAATTCAGTAATTCCAACTTTGATGCGGGCCGATGGAACTTAGGCGTATGCAGACACTGACAAGGCTCGTGTGCTTGATGAGCAATATGCAGGGGATTTTGTAGGTGAGGCCGCGTTGACTAGCGTTTAACTTGCCCCTAGAGTCCCTGAGGGTTCTTATTTAGCTGAGTTTACTGTGATGGAAACGCAAGTCCTTAGGCTGCTGCAAGTACCGAACCCTAAGGCAGATGGGTCTGATTCTGAGTCACCCGAAGCTTCTGCATGAGTTGGTGGCGGAACTAACTCGACCGCTGACGATGGTGCTTCAGAAGTTACTTGACAGCTGTACATTACATTCTGAATGGAAGGAGGCTGTCATCTGTCCTATCTTCAAAAAGGACGACAGGAGTCTGTCGGCCAATTATAGGCCAGTTAGTCTGACTAACGTCGTGGTCAAACTGCTTGATAAGCTGGTGAGAGATTCGTTGGAAGGTCACCTGAATAGATTTAATCTACTCAGTAATGCACAACACGGATTCCGGAACGGCTTTCCTGTCTGACGAATTTGTTGGTTGCTCGTGCAGCTTAGGCCGAGGCAGTGGACAATGGCCACGTAGTGGCTGTGCTTTCCGTCGACCTCTTGAAAGCATTTGATAGAGCAGCCCACTTGAGGTTATCACAAAAGCTGAGCTCCTACGGTGTATCTGGACGCGCCCTTCACTGGGCATCTGCATTCTTGCAGTGAAGAGAGCAGTGTGTACACGTGGGTCGCAGCTTATCCTTTAGGCAAACGGTCCTTAGCGGTATCCCACAGGGCTCGGTCCTTGGACCGATGCCGTTCTCCACTAACGTAAACGATCTCCCTTAGGAGTTTGGGGTATCATCGCTATCGTTTGCTGATGATCTTAAGCTGTGGAATGTTGTAGACGTCCCTGGGGGTTCTGAGACCATTCAGCATGCCCTGGACAGACTCTGGGACTGGTCTACTTTGTGGCTACTGCCCACTAATCAGGCCAAGTGTTCCGTCCTTTGCATAGAAACAGCTTTGCTCTCTTCGAGGCACGTGCTCGGTGGGGTCGAAATCCCCCTTGTCTCCAACCAGGCAGACCTAGGCGTCGTCTATTCCTGGTCTATGCATTCTAGTGACAACTGGAAAAAGGTCGCAAGTAGGGGTTTCAGAATGTTGTGGTTAATACGCCGTTTTTTTTCGGGGTCTTAACTGCCGATATATTTGTGAAGTTGCTCCCAGCTTTCGTTCGGCCCCATCTGGAATACTGCGTCCAGGGTTGCCCGCCCTGCCTTGTTCGGGACCAGATGGAGCTCGAGAGGGTTTTGAGAGTAGGCACCAAGTAGATCGAGGGGTTACGGGGGCAAATGTACCCCGAGCGTCTACTTAACTTGGGTATGTATTCAATGCACGACCGACGACTTCGAGGAGATCTAATCCTTACTTACCGCATTTTAACACGGATGGTTGGACAGGACTTGAGTTGGCTATTTAGCCCAGCTAGGTTGTCTTGTCTTCGCGGTCATTCCATGAAGCTACACAAGCCGCGTTCCGACCGGGTAAGGGCGGAAACTCGGTTATCGCGAAGAGTTATCGAGCGCTGGAACTCGCTTCCAGAAAGTGTAGTCAGTGAACCTACGATTAAGGGTTTCATCGTCAGTTAGACGCACTTGGACGGCAACACTAAACCCTTCCTTTCTCCTGACCATATTCACCTTCCAATTTCGAGTTCATATTCTGTCATTCTCCTCACGCTTTGGCGTTATCCTTCATTTGAATGACTTTCATTCCTCTTTATCTCCCATTTTCTTTCTACGTGTTCCTTACTTCACCTGACCTGCACAGCAGGGACTGCTAGTGCACGGAAAGTGGATAGTTGGTTGATCAGGGTATCGCTGCGGTGTTTCGTTTTAGATCCATCGAGGCCACATAGCACCTTACCATTTCCTGGATGAACGATCCGCTCAAGAAGGAACACTCAAGGGATTTTCCTATCGTTCCAGTCCCACCTGACTCTGAACTCCGTACTGGCCTAACAGGCAAACATATAAATATACGTCTAATGTGCGCTTTCACCAGTTCATTTCTTTAAAGGTATACAACTGGTAATTCTCAATGATTTGAATCTAGTTTTAAGTCTGAAATAGCGGTTACGCATTCAGCTGTTCCACGTAGCCCAAAGCCAACGCCTGTGATTTGAAGAAATTTTATCCCCTCTGATACGTCTCTATTGATATACGCAGTACTCCAAACAATTGCAAACACTTACCAGTGATGTTCTGCGTCACACGTGACCCATAGCAAATGAAGATTCGCCTGCGCCGGGCAGTTTACCGCAGCACCCTGCAGCCAACCAGAACATGCTACAGTATCGATCGATTACACGTGAGACAAACACACGCAGCATGCAGCGCGTATCGCTCGACAACTTTCAATGATTCGCTGAGACTCGACTAGCCGTTGTGGTGCAGCTGTCTGCTCTAAACCCATTAATCTGATAGAGGAATTGGAAGGGCGTTTTGCGCATGTCTTCGGGCAACTACTCTGCACGGTCGGTAATATTGGTGGTACTGCTTGCTCACTGATGACAAGCTCTGCACAGTTGCCTTAGAACTCCGTGATATTAATCGACTTATTTCCTCTGCTATCATGGTATGCTGGACCTGACAATTTACCACCAACGCTGATAAAAAATCGGTGAATCCGATATCCCTGTACTACTTCCGAATATTTTTTCTCTATCTATGAAAGCCGGTATTATGCCATCACAATGGAAGGCTGTAGCCATTCCTTGATACAAGTCAGGCTCTGTGCATGAAATGCGCAACTACCGTCAAATAAGTCATACTTCTATACTCTAAAATGATGGAGCGTCAGATAAAGTCAGAAACTGTTGGCTTCATGACGGCGCAAAATCTTATCAATACCTCACAACACGGTTTCCTAAGTGCGCAGTCTTGCATCACATGTCAGCTGGTTTCTTAGGTACACACTAGTAACTAGAAGGCTTCATCCAAACGCCATCGCTAGCCACCGATACACCCTCTCCTCTAGTGCCCTTAACAGTTCGTCGTCGTACTTCTGCACCTCTGTTTAGCAGCAGCTATTCTTCATAGCCTCCATTCATCTCTGCGCATATCCGGAGCTTACTAAGAGCCGCTCTTTTGTCCATCCAACCTTTACTCTCTGGGACTGTCTGCGTCACATGCATTCGCTGTTGCTGACTTATTCTGGGACACTGTAGGTATCCACTAACAACTATAAGGCTTCACCCAAATGCCATTGCTAGCCACCGATACTCTCTCTCCTAGCGATATTATCTGCCCTTCGTCTTACCTGCGTCACCACTTTTTAGCTGCAGCGGTTCATTGTAGGCAGCATACATCTTTGCGCTGGGAGCCACTCCTTATCTCTCCTACTTTTATTCTCGTGGATTGTTTGCATCACATACCTTCGCTGGTCTGTTGGCTTATTCTGTCACTAGGTATCTACTAGTAATTAAAAGGCTTAATCCGAATGCCTTTGCTGGCCACCGATACTCTCTCTCCCAGTGCAACTATCTGTCGCTCTCCTTATCTTCTTCACATCTTTGCAAAGATTCGTTGTAGGCTCCATGTCCATTCTGCGCAGATCTTGAGCTCGCTAGGATACACTCCTTGTCTCTCCATCATACATTCTTGTGGAATGTCTGTATCACTTACCTTCGCTGGCTCGTTGATGCATTTTGTGACCCTTTAGGCATACACTAGTGACCAAGCGCCTTATAGGAATGGCTACATCTGGCCACTGATAGTCTTTCTTAGTGCCACCATAGGTCGATCGTCTTAAATCCGGCATCTCTGTTTAGCAGCAGCTAGTGGTCGTTGGCTCCATGCATCTGCGATTATCTAGCGCTTGCTAACAGCCACTCTTTGATTTCTACAACCCTTATTATCTGGGACTGCCTGCGTCACATACATTTGCTGTCTGTTAAATTTTCTGGGACATTGTAGGTATACATCTAGTAACTAGAAGGATTCATCCAAATGCAACTGCTGACCAGTGATACTCCCGCTCCAAGCGCCATTATCTGTTCTTCGTTCTACCTCTGTCTAGCAGCAGATACTCTTCGTAAGCTCCAAGCATCTCTGCGCATATTCGGGGTTTGCTTGGAGCCACTGTTTTATCCCTCCAAACTTTATTCTCTTGAAGAGCCTGTCTCAGGTACATTTGCTGTTTGTTGACTAATTCTGGGACACTGTAGGTATACACTAGTAACTAGAAGGCTTCACCCAAATGCCATTGTTAGCCACCGATTCTCTCCCCTCTAGTGCCATTATCAATTCCTCCTCTTACCTTCATTACCTCTTTGCAGCTGCAGCGCGTTACTGTAGGTAACCTGGATCGATGCGTTAGGAAACCCTCCAAATATCTCCTACTTTTATTCACGTAGATTGTTTGCATCGCATACCTTCACTGGTTTGTTGACTTATTCTGTCACTGTAAGTATCCACTAATAACTAGAATCCTTAACGCGAATGCATTTGATGTCCACCGGCTATATCTCATCATACCATTATCTGTCGTTCCTCTTATCTTCACGTTTTCTGTAGCGATTCTTTGTACTCTCCATACATCTTTGTGCATATCTGGATCTATTATGCGACACTTCTTGTTTCTCCATCCTGTAATCCTTTACGATGTCTGTATCATTTATCTTCGCTGGCTTTTTGATGTATTCTGTAACCCTGTAGGCACACACTAGTGACCAAACTGCTTAATGGAATGGTTACATCTGGTCACCGAAAGTCTTTCATAGCGCCATTATCTGTCAATCGTCTTAAATTCGGCACCTCTGTATATCAGCAGCTAGTGGTCGTTGACTCCATGCATCTGCGATTATCCAGAGCTTGTTTGGAGCCACTCCTTATCACTATAACCTTTATTCACTTAGATTGTCTGCATCTAATCTTTGCGCTGCCTTACCACTAACTGAGCTTTAGAGCTCTCTCGCGGCAAACTATTTATTTTTTAACTTTCTTATTCTGCGTTCCCTATCGTATTAGGCTGGCTACCTGCTCTTCATTCACCATTCAATCACCACCAGTCTTTTAACTTTCTTTCCTCTCTCCCCACGCAATTTTTGCCTCATACTAAACCGATATTTCGTGGATTACTTACTGGTAGAACGCTCTTGTCTCTACGCAGACGTTAGAAATGTACCCATACGGCTATTGGTTCTATAGGACATTCAAAAAGCACTTTCCGCATAATCATCGTTGCACAGTGTACATGCTTTTGTCTCAACGCCAAATGTTGTAACATGAGACCTTAACAATGTTTCACTCCACGCCTGTTCTGGCGGTCTTCTCTCGGTTGTCCCTCACTTTTCCATTTCTCCGAGGTCCGGAACTACTTGGAGATCTGGGATTGGACTGAGGAACAATTTTCGCCCAAGACGGACGTAACGTGTGACGAGGATCTACATGGAGCATGGCTGTATACCAAAGGGACTGAATTGCAATCACCACCACAACCGTTGTCCAGTATGGAGAGCTGGACAAGTTTTCACACTCCCGAAAATTATACATCTGAAAAATCCAGACAGCAGAAAGTTTGAAACTTTGCTCATCTGGACACACAACAAGACGACTATTCGTGATGTTCTCATCCTCAAGCTGTCTCAACAATTATGGCGGCCCTGATCAAGCTATCTGTCCAGTCAACAGAGGAAATTGGAAGCCATTTGACTGCGAATAATCGATTATGGAATCAGTCGTCAAGCAGCTTTGCCAGTTATACATTAGTGTTCAAAATGCTTTACGGCAGTGTTGCAGGAGGTGGTGGGTTTTCGCCTGGCAAGCGTTCTCCCTATAAAAAGCCACAAATGTCTGTTTAACAACACTGCGACGTGGCGGATGTGACTCGCCACTGAATAAAGTCACTGCCCACAACTACATACTAGCAAGTCGATTAGAATCATATTTCAACTTTTTCCCGACATGTACAAGAATATGATACTCTCCGTCTACATGTACCGTTTCACTGCACTTATAGTGCCTTGATCGTTTACACTACACACAATTGAACCCAAAGTATCCTCGTGAAACACAACTGCCTGTAAACCCTGATCATGCCTGATTTGGTGTGCCTATAAATTTGAGAACAAACTGATACGTATTACTCGAGTATTACTGGTTTGCACTTGGACCCTTAGTCCGCGCAAGAAGTGAATAAGAACACACCGGATGGGACGTGCCAAAAACTGTAATGATGACCTGTAAGTTACACCAGATGAGTAAGTTGAAAAGGAACCAATCAGCACAAGGAAAAGCAGTGGACGAATCAGCTATTGGTCAACCGATCTGCATGTGTCTGTGTGTTGCTCCTCGTTTTAGCAGAAGACACACATGTAACATCCCCTCACGTGACAGATGGAATCACAGTTGTGAAATGTAATGTTCTATCGGCTTAGGTGAGCGGTGCGGTTTCCGAATAGCAATCGGCTGATCGATTTCTTCCGTTTGGTTTTCGTTTGTCTCCTCCAGATCTTCTGGAACCACTTTCTCTTCCCCAGGGTACGGTTTGACTGGGATGCGGGGTCGGATGAAATCATTGTGCCTGCGTACTGTCTCTCCACTCTCTAGTTGTATTTTGGCCTCCGTTTCTGAGCTCGTAAGCACGGTGTTAGGCTGCCATAACTGCTCATGCGGTAGTTTCGTGTAAACATCACGTTCCACTATCGACTTCCGGGGCTTAACTGGTGCGCGTCCACTTTCATGCATACGTTGTTGCTGGCAACGCCTGGTCTGACGAGGGTCTGGAAAAAGTAGGTCTAGCCTAGTACGTAGTCGACGCCCAAACATTGCCTCCCCAGGGCTCTTTCCGATAGACTCTAGCGGTGTGATCCGATATGCGAACAAGAATCGGTCAAGTTTGGTTCGTAACGAGCCATTACGCTGCTTTAGAAGACCAGCTTTCACGGTTTGGACCGTTCTTTCAGCTAAACCGTTTGACGCTGGATGGTACGGTGCGGAAGTCATGTGATGAACGCCGTTGCTCTGCAGGTATTCTTTGAACACTGCACTCGTAAATTGCGGACCGTTGTCAGTGACTAATGTTTTCGGTATGCCATGTGTAGATAGACTAGAAAGTACGCCATTGATTGTAGCTTCTGCAGTAGCGTTTGCAACAACATGCACATCAATCCATTTGGAGTACGCATCTACTAAAAGTAGCAACATTTTTCCTTCGATCGGTCCAAAGTAATCGGCATGGACACGTTCCCATGGGCTGTCGGGCAACTGCCAAGGGTGAATTGGGCCGGTTGGATTATCTCTTTGATATTTTTGGCATGTGTTACAAGTACTCAAAAGTG